TGTGTGTGTGTGTTTGTGTGTGTGTGTGTGGTGTGTGTGTGTGTGTGTGTGTGTGTGTGTGTGTGTGTGTGTGTGTGTGTGTGTGTGTGTGTGTGGTGTGTGTGTGTGTGTGTGTGTGTTTCGACATCCAATGGGGTAATAGTCATTTAGCTCCTGTTGCACTCATCTGTTTAGGACTTCCTACAACTCTGCATATATTTCCCATAAGTACTTATATTAACCCGTGAAGTCAGCTCTAGCTACTTGGTGCGTGATGTCTTGTCTCCAAGGTGATGGCCCTGTTATGTATGAAACGTGTTGTGGCCTACGGTTGAAAGTGGAAGCTTAAACTGTAAAGCTGCCACTTTGGTTATTAACTACAGATGTGTTTCATTTTGGTGGTGATGTTTCCCCTTACAAGCTGGGCTCTGAATAGTAGTACCTCCCATTTGTAAGCGCTGCACGTGCAGGTGTTGTTTTACATGAATATTCCCTTTTTTTCTGGCCTCATCCCCTCTCTGCTCACCCCATTCTCCCCTCTTCCTGTCTCGCTGCCTCTCTCTTTCTCTCTCCCAGTTGGAGTTTGTTTAGACGGAGAGATAGTGGGGAAGTATATTTAGAGAACATATATTCCACTGTCTGAACACTAAGCTCAGAGAGGGAGAGAGAGACAGTGGAAGAGAAAGAGAGGCCCGAGATCGAGGCGAAGAGAAAAGCAGGGTGAAGTAGCTAGAGATAAATGAAAGATAAAGGCGCTTTAGAAGCATTAAAGAGGATTGGGTCTGTGAAAGCACTTGAACATGACTTCAGGGCAGGAAGAGGAGGAGATGAAGAGTGTGATGAGGAGGAAGCATAGAGACCTCTCTCTCTATGAGTGGCAACTTGTCTCCCCCTCTTTTCTGTCACTGTCTCCAGTCTAATCTCTCAATGATAACTTTGACGGCAGAAAGAAAGAACAAAGGTGGAGAGAGAGAGAGAGGGTGGGATCACTGACTCCCCTTTTCTTAATAGATATGTACTGTGTGTCTGTTTTGCTGCAGCTAGTAGCAACATATGTGTGTGTGTGTGTGTAGCTTTAGTTTGAAAAGGTTTGGCTCATTTATATGGCACACACATTATTGAACAGTAGTAATATGCAACAACATTCATGTGTAAACCCTTTAAATCTATTTAATAAATCATCATCAGATTACACTTTTTATTTTTAATACTTATCTAATTGGTCTATAATAAAGATAAGCATAGATAGTTTCCACATATTGATGACATATTGTACAATTTTCATGAAGCATTTCCTTTCTGATGTTTTATAGGCCCTGAAATTCACTTCATCCATATTTTTCAGCACCTGTAATATGTCACTGCTCCCTAAACTCTAAAGTGTTGTGCAGTCTTTGTTTACTTTTTTTAAAGGGCCACTTCCACATTTTAGGGTTATATTTATAAGCACATCTTGTAACTGGTACATAAAGCCTTCATCAATCGCTTCGTGTGTAGCACTTCCTGACCACTTCCAGCCACTTAATGAGATAAATATACTACCTAACGTCCACGCATCAAGATGTCTAACTCTCAAAGGCACAAACATCTGTCAAACTGTTTTTTGTCGGGACTCACAACATGGTCCATCCCGGATCCAGATATATTTTGGAAATCTACTTAAGAAAATGTGTGGTGGTTTGGTGCTGTCCACGTAAAATTGGAAAGCATCACAAATAATGAATTTGCAGTCCAGTCTTACTAATCCTTCTTGTCAAAAGGCTGTTTTCTGTTTTCACATATAATGACTACTTATATTTACCCCTCGCAAAGGGTTGTTTCACTACAGTTCCAATATTCAAGTAAACAAGATTCTGTGAAAGCATATGGAGTCACTTTGAGTTCACAAAAGACAGTTTCTGCATTCTCTCTTGGACACACAAGGTGAAAGATGGGCTCAGGTATTTGACCTTTAGTCTTTGTCCGGGGTATCTCCTTTGAGCATCTTGACTTTGAAGATGGTAAGGCTTTGAGTTACTTGCTGCTGATGGCCTTTTGAAATGGGAGGGGTCTCTTCCCATAATGGTCTTTAGTGTTATATTTCAAGGCCTCAAGGTTTAAAGCATAGAATAATGCAACTTTAAAAATAGTTTAACTACAAGGTGTCATGCTGTTCATATTTTCTTAGAATTCAATAGTGGGCACTTTCTGTCATCATTTGACAGAAAATACGACACCGCAGCGAGAAGCCACACATTCAGAAGCACAGTATATCTCCTTTAACCCCTGAACTCCCAGTGAGAGAAAGTCCTCCCTCCCCTCTCCACTAAATCTATGACCCCTTACTCATGCTATGAGCTCATGTTTATAGCTCTATTTTACACACACCAGCGCTATACACACAGGCACACACTCGCTCTGCCCAGGGCCTCTAACCCCTTAGACCCCCAATCTCTGACCTCAGAGAGGATGACAAACAGTGGAGCCGCTCAATGTCCCTTCACTGTCTTCCTCTATCTCTTTTCTCTTCTTTAAAGGAATAGTTGGGAGATATGCTTATCCGTCTCTTTTCAAGATTAACAACTTAAAGATAATTTCATGTCTGTGTGTTTATAAGTGGTACATTGATGTAAAAATGCTTCTTTTCCGACTTTCAGTAGAGAGTTTGTTTTTCAAGTATCAGAATTGCTGAAGCAGAATGAAGCAAACAGGCATACCAAAGATTCTGAACTATTTATTCATACCTACTTATTGTATTTCAGCACACAGACACACATTTCTCCACATTTTTTACTTGAACCCCACCCCTTTTCCCTTGTGAGATCCTCTATATTCTCCACTCGTTTATTTCTCTGCTTATTCTTTCAGGACTGAAAGTCTTCAATTTCCTCTTTTACCTTGAAGCTCTTTTCTCTTTCTCTTATTCTTTTCTTCTGTTCTCTTATTTAAAAGTCTCTCCCTGCTGTGTTTACCCACTGGGTTACTTTCATAAATCAAGCCTCCCTCAGGCTCATGTTTACACCTCTCCTCTGGGTCTGTATCTCCTGAGCAGCAGAGGGAAATAGGTAATGACTCTGCTGCTGTCTGGCTGTCGGGGAAGCCACATGGAAAGACATTCATCGCCCAGCTGGGTCTTTTCTACACCAGGCAGACGCAGAGAAAAATATCTCCCATTAAAACACACACCTTACAATACTTTGTGCAATAATCCTCCTTTTCTCTGTATTTCTGCTGCAGTTGGTGCGGACAAACAGTGCGAGCTGACCTGCAGACCTGCTGGCTATCGTTTCTATGTCCGCCAGGCCGAGCGCGTCAGAGACGGGACCCCCTGCTTCAATGTCAGCACCAATGACATTTGTCTAGAGGGACAATGTCTGGTGAGTGCATTTAAATGTGCATGTGAGTGAGGACTTTGTGCTCTCAGGTGTCTGAGCCCAAGTTCATCCTGTCTAGCTGGAGCTGACAGAGTCCAGAACCTCTTTCACGTCTGGAGGCTGATTTAAGGCTGGCATTCAGACTCGAAGTTTCTCCAGTCTCGTTTTATTACCCTGCTCTGGGCCTCTGTTCTCTTTGTTTTTTCCTCTTTCTCTCATTTGTACTCTTTGGTTTTACGCTTATTCCACGCTTCTCTTTTTGGCATGAATCTGGGCAGCAACAGTTTCCAATTTACTCAAACAACGGTGAAGTAAACACTGGCGATGGATGTGAAATTTCAACCACATTGGAATAGCTTTTCCCCGCTCTGTCCCCACCCCCTCTCTTGTTCCCCTGAGCCACTTTTCCCCCCCTCATTGTCAGACCCTTCACTCATGTCTTTTCACCTTCCTCTCCTGCCAGACCGAGGGTTGCAATGGGGTGCTGGGCTCCGGCTCTGTGATTGACAAGTGTGGAGTGTGTGGTGGGCGGGAGAGCTCCTGTCGAAAGGTAACGGGAAGCTTCCAAAATGTCTCGGTTCCCCTTGGTTACCACAAGATCCTGGACATCCCGCCAGGAGCTACATTCATTAACATCACGGAGAGACGCGCCAGCCCTAATTACCTGGGTAAGAGCTAATAGACACAAACAAAATCCTGCACACATGGTTTAGGATTTCTGGTTTCAATACCGGTTCCAACTGCAGTAAAAAGTGAGGCATGGAAATTGTAGATTTGGGAAATAGATTTGGCCTTTGAGCAAGTGTGTGCTGGCTTGAAATGAACTGTATATCTGGTTAGAGCCCATGAAGAACCAGTGAAGTGTGTGAGTGTGAGTGTTTGCCCGTCTGTTTGGTAATAAGACCCCAAAGTCTGTGTATGTTTAAGCTAATGGAGGTTTCTGAAGAAATCACTACTTTGTAGACTATACAAGTTTTAAAATAATAAAATAAAACGTAATTCTTGCTCCATTCTTCATGTCTGCCTTCCTAAAATGCCGCCCCAATTTCCGCAGCCATGAGGAGTGGCACGGGGGCTTCAGTGGTGAACGGGCGCTGGGCTGTGGACCCTCCAGGGGAGTACCAGGCAGGAGGGACCACCTTCACTTACAACCGACCTAGAGCACAGGCAGAGGGGGAGGAGGAGAAAGGAGAGTCCCTCTGGGCTCCAGGACCCACCACCACACAGCTCCAGCTATATGTAAGTACACTGTTTATTTGAACCCTGTAAGCAAACATGAGTCCGGGCATGGCATAATGAATTTTATGATAAGAATCACACACATACACATACTGTATGAACATGTGCATAAACATGTATTTCACCTCTCTATAACTGTATTGTTGAAAGCCTGAGGCAATGCTCCCCTGCTCTGTGTCAATTTCTGCCTTTCTTCGTTATGTTAGCATTAGAGGGGGATAACGGCAGCTATACTCATGCTTAGCTTGAGCCATATCAGACTATCCATAGCTTAATAATAACAACTCTAACCTCAGGCTAAGATCTTATTAAAGAACAGAAGGCATCTGCAGCTTTGATTACAGGAGCTACAGGGAAGGATGGGGGATATAAATAGCAAGCGTCCACCAAAGCCAGGGTTTGATCTGCAGTGGAATCACCTGCATTTTTTAAGGCTTTATGGGATTGTGAAATAAGACATTAAATGACTAAAAGTCTATAACCTCAGCAGTGCACTATGAGGCTGTGCTGCTCATTAAACGTTGCTTAATATATCGTTGAATGGAAAAAGAATAAAAGACAAGTCTGCCTAGCAACTGAAGGAGGAAAATTAGGTTTTGCAGTTGTACACTGACTGTTTTAGGACATCTGCTCAGCTCATGTTTACTCAGAGTTTAGGTGAGTCTCCGGCTACCGCTAGCATTCCTCTTATTTACCTTATCTTACTATCACATTAGTGTAGCAGACAAGAGAGGTCAAGTAATGCTTAATGCTTATTTTAGCTTAGCATAAAAACTGAAAATAGCTAGTCTTATTTTGTCAAAAGGTAACACTGTCTGCCTGCCATCATTTCTAAAGTTCACAGATTTAGTTTAATGCATCAATATTCATGTGCATATCATTTGTCTCTGTCAATATAAATCAATCACACTGTAAAAACACTTCATAGATATGTATACATGCACATACTGTACATAGTCATATAGTCCAAGAATATATGTTCAGAAAACCTAAGCGTAAACACTACATGTTATGGTTTTAAAAAGATGATGTGTTTTGCTTTAATCCCTTCATTGTCATACGGATAAATTGATGATGGGAAATTTGAATCACCAAAGTAAAAAGGAGTCATCCTCGGTGGAGTGTATGTACCAAGTTTACATTAGTCTATCTTATAGTTATTGATAAACGACCCTTTGGATCAAAGTGATGCATTGACCAATCGGCTGCCTGAATTACAATGCCATCTCAAGCAAAATATAGCAGATCCTAATGTTGTTGCCATGGGACTCCAGCTGATTAAGTTTAGATGACCGTGGCTATGTTAAGTTGTGTAAGATGGTCTGCAGGGTTTAATAATAAGAGGGGGGGGGGGGCACATAGTGACAAACATACACCCTGCTGAGGCATCTGTGAGCTTGACAGTGGTTTTCTGCCAGCGCCTTATTAACTTTTCTGTGGCTCATACTGACTTCTTAGTACACTTCTCTATGGGGATCCATAAAGCTGTTTTAGGGTGTTCCTTCTCATTGGCTGTTTTTCACCTCTTGTTCCGATTCTTCTCTCACCCTGTCTTGCTCTCTAGATCATTTTCCACAAGGAGAACCCAGGCATCGATTATGAGTTTTATATTCCTGTGGAGAAGAAGGAGGTGGAGAGGGAAAGGGTGACGGAGAGAGAGAGGGAGACACCCAGAGAGAGGCCGAGGGAGCGAGACCCAGGGAGGGCCCCTCTTCGCAGTACGTCCATCGCACTTCCTGATTTTCCGTTTTCTGTTGTTGACAGCTGTGCTTTCTGCATGTTGTACACAGAGACAGTCATGTTCAGCACATAGTTCAATCTTGTCAGTGGCAGAGGGGAACCCTTAATCAAATATCTCAAGATTCATTCTTTCCAAATTACTCAGGGAAACACTACTGTGAAACCATGAGAGTGATTGATGTGTTTATGTATCAGGATGGGTGTGGTGCTAGGATTGTTGTGCAAGTGTGTTTGTGTGTTTGTGTATGACCTACATGGGAGGCTATCTGGCTCACATGTTCGCTGTCATGAGACACTGACCTCATCATGACATCAATAGCATCTGACTCACTACTTACTCCCAATATGTAAACATATTTTGCCTTTTTATCACAGTTTTCTCACTGCGCTTTTCTCCTCCTTGTGTCTGTTTCCCAATGTTCACTCTCTCTTTCCTCTTTCTACACTTTCTCGATGTGGGACCATTTTTAGATTTGGTTGAGGAACTCTGGGTAATTTACTATGCCTATTTGGGGTGGTTGTGTGAGATATCTGTTTGGCTTTCTTTCCATCCAAAATATGCCCCATATATGTTTTATCATTTTGGATCTGACCCACATGCTGATTTTTATTTAATTTGAAATGTATTTATGATGCGGTATATGTCCATTGTTTTTCTGTTGTCTTTTATGTAACCCCTTTTTCATCTACATTTCTGGTTTAAAAAAAGACATGTATTGTTCAAAACAAGTTGTTACATCAGTATTTTTTCTTTTCTTCTTTCCAAGGTCCTCTAACTGTGTCAGTAGAAGACCCTCCTCCTGCTCCTCCTCCTATTTCAGTCCCATCCTTCCCCTCCTCCTCCTCCTCCTCCTCCACCACCTCTGTGTTTTCTCCCCCCATCTCGGACCGATGGACACCTGAGAGGTCCCGTCCCCGAGCCTCTGCCCCCAATAGGAATGCTCGGATCCCCCCTCGCACCGACCTGCCACCGGACACTCAGCCGCCATTTGTGTGGAGGAGAGGAGAACTCACAGAGTGCTCTGCTTCCTGTGGCAAAGGTCAGAGTTCAAACACTCCTATTATAACCTAATATGCATTGTATTTCATTGCTTTATGCTTTATGCTTAACCTAATTGTGGCCCTACTGTAATTTTTTTATTTTGATCATCCATCAAACCGTTTGTTATTTTTATAAAACTTGATTCTGTCTTTTAGCACATAGGACATTCATTATATATTTGGAAAAATACAGAAGTCCCATGTGCCCTACTAGTAAATATAGTATGACAATAAGAGGGCTGAATCCCATACACTACAAAAAGCTACATCAATGATCTGTGTGTATGAACTCATAACAAGTTGAACATCAAGGATATAACAGTTGTATTGTTAGATACTTTCCCAAATAATGTCTGTAGCATATACTATAAATATAAAGGTCTGTATCATATTTCAAGACTTAGGACCAATCAAAAACAAATGTTTTCTATATAAATAAAAAACATTACTGCTTTACTTTGGATAAAGTGATGTCGCCCCCCTGTGGTTGCTAGATGCAGGTACAAGAACATGAAACTGATCTCTTTCTCTCTCTCTGCATCTATCCATCTTTCTCTCTCTTTCTCTGCATCTATCTGTCCATCTCTTTCTTTCTCTCTGCATCTATCAACCTTTCTCTCTCTCTCGGCATCTATCTGTCCATCTCTTTCTATCTCTCTGCATCTATCAACCTTTCTCTCTCTCTCGGCATCTATCTGTCCATCTCTTTCTATCTCTCTGCATCTATCAACCTTTCTCTCTCTCTCGGCATCTATCTGTCCATCTCTCTCTCTCTCTCTCTGCAGGGTCTCAGAGCAGAGTCATGCTGTGTATTAACCGCCACACAGACGATGAAGTCCCGGAGGCCAAGTGTGACTCTGCAGCCAGGCCGATTCCTGAGGAGGAGCCTTGTAACCCTCATGCATGCCCACCCTTGTAAGAAAACACACAGTTACATTTAAAGATTCACATCATATCTTTTATTTGATATGTAACACTCTGGGAAGGGATTTTTACATTGCTGATAACTACATAAAAAACACTCCTTATAAAGACGTGTTTTTTTACATTAAGTTTATTTCTACTGTAAAGTGGTTGACATTATGTCACTGTGCTGGCACATTTCATTCAATGTAATTAAAGATTACAGTCAAAAAGTATTGATAATATTTATTATTTCTTCATTCTAGTAAAAGCATAACTAATTGAAAAAAGCTGATGTTATTGTTAGTTTATACACGATTTGTTGCGGACAGTTTTGGATGTTATTGAAGTAGTAGTGTGGTATTTTTCCTGTAAAATGTATTTCCAACATGTCCCTCCCTCTCCCTCCCTCCCCCCCCTCAGCTGGGAGGCGAGCTCCTGGTCAGAGTGCAGCGTGTCGTGTGGCCCCGGGGTGCAGCAGAGGCAGCTGCAGTGCCGACAGAGCTTTGGGGACCGCTCCACTATGGTCCACCCGCAGCGCTGTGCCAACCTCACCCCCCCTGACTCCACCCAGGCCTGTCAGCTCGGCCTCTGCTCCCACTGGGAGGTCAGCTCCGACTGGAGCACGGTAGGTCACTGTGACGGGGAAATGCATCTGCTAATGGCTCTGCATACGTCAAAAAAGAAGACAAGTTATGTAGAATCTGAAATCATAACACAGAGTCTTGTGTGCATGGAGTTTCAATTTGGGCTTTGTCCTTTAAAATGCAGTCACTGTGTCTTTATCATACGTTGTTTTATTATTTTATTAGGTGAACTATTTATGGTCAGGGACAGCAGACACTTTGCCATGGGTGGGGTTAATTTATGTTTTTTAATTAAACAATTACGCATTTTGGGTAAATATGAAAATATAAAACACAATTCATCATAAAAAAAGTTCCAGCCAACCAACAACTTTTTATAGTTTCACATACACATAATTTATTTGTATTTATAACTAAACATATTCTTGCTTATGTTTTCCTGGTGCACAACAATCTGCTCTTTGGGAACAAATACAGGATTAATTAATTGATAATCAACATTCAAACTGTTTTCTTCAACTCTAGATTCTAATTAAGGTAATGTGAATGATTGACGTAAAATCCCTCAACTGTACGCCCTTTCTTTATCCGTCTCATTCTTGTTTGTCCTCCCTTCACTTGTCACAGTGCTCAGTGGACTGTGGGGTTGGGAGGAGGACGAGGAGTGTGCTCTGCGTCAGCGATCAAGGCAACGAGGTGAACGAAAAAGAGTGCAGCACCGGGGCCAGCCCACAAGGAAGTGAGGAGTGCAACATGGGCCCCTGTGTAACCAACTGGTACTTCACTGACTGGTCCAACACTGTGAGTAACTCGCAGAGGCAAGAAAAGAGAAACATCACAGCACTTAACAGTAATCCTCTACATGATATTGCACTTTGTCCCTCAGTGTTCGGCGCAGTGTGGCCCCGGGGTGCAGAAGAGGGAGTCGGTGTGTCTGACTCGAGGAGGGGTGAGAGAGGGAGGTGGAGGAGGGGACTGTATTGGGGACAAACCAGCAGAGATGAAGGCCTGCAACGGGGGTCCCTGTTTGGCGATAACCATGTGGTACAGCAGCCCCTGGACACAGGTAGGACACTGGGGATGAAGAATGAATGAAATACATGAGGAATGGAGGAAAAATAGATTTGAATGTTGATGCTTTTTGATGAAAGTTTTATTAAAAATGAAATGAATTTTGACATATTTAGTTTTATTTGCTTTTCAGTTTGTTTCTGTTTTGAGTTTCTAGTTTAAAGACATTGTTTTGTGTTTGTACTATGAGTTTGATGAAAAAGTTCATAACCAGAATGTTGCATTTTCAATAATGTTGTTTTACATTATAGAAAGAATTAAAAAATGTTGTTCTTTAGATTTTAATTAAATCATATGAGATTTAATAAGCAATTAATGTTGTCTTTATGTAGGCATATATACTTTTAGTTTTTTAGTTCTGAAGTAAAAGAGACTTCCTCTTACAGGTACAGATATTGTATTCCTGGTTTTAAAATGTATTTTCTCTCTCCAGTGTAATGTCCCCTGTGGTAATGGAACTCAGCGACGGGACGTCATTTGTGTCCAGAAGATGGGGAATGATTTTACTGTCGTACCAGCCAGTGAGTGCGCTCATCTGGACAAGCCTGCCGCGGTGCAACAGTGTGAGATGGGAGAGTGCGAGCCTCTGTGGTTCACAACAGAGTGGAGCGCGGTGAGAGACGAGGGGGGGGGGGAGAGAACATAATGTTGGAAAGAGAAATGATGTGACAGTGCAAACAACACTGGAAGGGACAAGTCTATAAATTGTGATGTGTTTTTATTTACAACTGTAGTATTTACACTCTCTATGCCTTTGTTCTCAGTGCTCACGCTCTTGTGGAAAAGGCGTACAAATGAGGGAAGTACGGTGTCTAACGCCAGAAAAAAGGCACAGCCATGAGTGTGATTTGGACAACAAACCTGAACGGGAGCAAATCTGCAACACGATACCCTGCAGCCCCCAAGTCTCAGGTGGGTGTGTTTGTGTATTTCAAAACTCACCATTAGCAGATGCCAGCAATAAGCTAATCTCAACGGGATCCACACCTGTTTTACAATGCATTACTCATCCCACGATTAACATATATTGCATCAATGTACAGAAAATGCCAATTATATCCAACTCAGAGCCAGAGAACACATCATTTAATATAATACAAAACAAAAGATCCTTCAGAAGAATAAAGGTATATAGTTGATATGAATGAGGTCTATATATCTATTATGAAGCAAAACACTAATATAAGTTATAACTCCTCCTCATTAGTTGGTCATCTGCATGCCAAGTGCCTTTGAATATTATTTTTAGGGGATCAATTATTTAGTTTTATTTGTTTAGGCAGATATATTAACGGATAATTATTTGTCTATTTGTTACGGTCTTTTAAATTACAATTACAACATGTTAGTCCTCAGGCAGGGTAGTAGGTAATGCAAGACAAATGTTTGTGTGTACTATAAAGTTGTATTTTATCTTCCCTCATCTTCCTCTCTTGTTTACAGATGAAAACTGCCGGGACAGACGTCACAACTGTATGATGGTGGTTCAGGCCAGGATGTGCGTCTACTCCTATTATAAGACCGCCTGCTGTGCCTCGTGTACCCAGAGTGCTCAGCGTGCCAAGAGACAATGACCAGCCAATCACAGGCAGCCCAGGTGTGCAAGAAGTCAAGGATTAGGTCAGAAGAGCTGAAATAAGAAGTCTGTAGAAATTGAAAGCCCAGCGTAGAAAGAAATCTGCTAGGGTCTCAGATCAAATGTAGCGATTTTCTCCTGATTCTTCAGGTAAAACACTGTGAAAGCATCCGGTTCATTTTTCCAGTTCTCTGTACACAATTTCATATTGCCTATTTAGAACCACATATTCCACTGAGATCACTTCTGTTCACTTTGTGCGTTAGCTTTGACAGTTTTGTTATGCGTCACACGGTGCCGAAAGATGCACTTGCAGTGATTTTCAACTCTTGGTGGCTTATTTCTAAAGCTGAGAGGTTTTAATGGAATGTGCTCACTGAGGACACCGCTGCGTTCGAACAGCAAATCAAGCCTTTCTTTTAGCGAGAGGATCTTAAAACAGATGTAATAAGATATGCATACCACTAATTATGAAAAGAAACGTGCTGAAGAAATAATGTGGGCTAGATAAACTGTGTGTACTACGTGTGCTGAAGATCTACTGGAATAGATCTACTGTGTTTCTGTGCACTGCAGACCCCCAACTAAGCTAGAAGGATTTTATTAACTTGTTGTATGTATTTTTCTGTTTGCCAAAAATATTTCCTCACGCGTCCTCTTATTGTTCAGTTTTGGACAGATGAACCAAAGCAGGGGGGTGACCATGGCAGTAAGTGACCAAATATATCAGAGGGGAAAGAAGTGAGATTCTTCCCAAACAAGAAGGTTTTTAAGACATGGATGTTAAACAAGCAGCACAGACTTGGTGCAGTCCTTTAATGTATTCATGTCAGTAACATAAACACCTAGTCTTTTTAAAGAAAGCTGTTGGAGCTGCAGATATGTGTTAACTTAACAATGCTCACTTGATATCTGACAAAAATAAGGAATAATCATATTGATGGGACGGTTGTTGTTTCATACTTTCTCTCTTCAACAAACCACATGAAAAGAACTTAAAAACGGCTCACACTGTTTTTTTATGAAATGCTGAGAAAAAAGCGCACTTGTTCCGCGACTATATAATGCTGCGGATTAACGCTCATGCATTTATGTGTTACTTTTAAAAAAATCATGTAACTCTATGGCAGAGAACGCTAAGCTAATTGAAGCTACTAAGCAATGCATGTTTTCTTCACAATAGGAGTAATATAGAAGATCAAGTTTGGAGATGTACATTGTACAATTCACTCCTCACTGACCTAGTTTTGCATTTGAGTGATCAAAAACTTTTTTATGTCCTTCCTGTTTCCTAACCTCATTTCAATATCTTTTCTTTTTGCATCCATCATCGCCTTCCTAGGAGGGACTGGTGAATCTGTCCTATGAGAAAAGGTGAAAACATAATTAGGAAACCTCATGTTGACAATAGTCTTTTAATAATTGAGTTCATGATATGGATCAAATCATTCTGCTTTGACCAGGAAGTAAATGTTTTGCTTTGTGAGGTGGCAACGTCTGAATATGTGTGTGTAAGCTTTTCTCTTATTTTTCTCTTCCGTAGAAGACGTACACATACTTAAAGGCGAGGAGTCTGTATATTTGTCAGATATGTTTTAATGTCTATAATTTCTTTGAACATAGTTGGCGCTTATGTTTTATAACTGAGTACAGTTATCAGAAGTGTTGTTATAGACTGCATTTATTCACATCTTACTGTTATATAACTATTTTGCATTTGACATGAGAATCGTTCCTGTGTGTATCGGATGCGTCAGTGTGTGTGTGTGTGTGTGTGTGTGTGTGTGTGTGTGTGTGTGTGTGTGTGTGTGTGTGTGTGTGTGTGTGTGTGTGTGTGTGTGTGTGTGTGTGTGTGTGTGTGTGTGTGTGTGAGAGAGTGTGTGAGTGTTGCGATTGTGGCTTTGAATGTGTCTTTCTTGTCTCTAATCCCTCATAGTAAAAAATACTTTTTATATAAAAACAAAAAAGATAGTAATTTATCTATTATCTAAAGAACATGTAATTTATTTTTTTGGTTTAAGAAGCTGTAGCAAATGTTCTTTGTTACCACCAGAGTTTATACGATTGTTAATGTTGATACACAGACTTTTTTTATCATGCAAAAACAGAAAACAGTGTGAAAATTCATATCTTTAAAGCTTCATTTTAAATAAAACAACACAGAAATCAAGTGGTGTGTCATGTTTGATTTTACTCAGTAACTCAGGGTGATATTGCCAGTTTTCCTCCAAATGATGGCGCTGTTGAGTCTCGAAAACAGGTGTAGGGTTCAGAAATAAGCGGCTTACAGAGGAAATGACTCCTTATGTTTTGAAGTTTGCGCTTTGTTGTCTGCTTTTATTTTGTTTTCAATGTTGATTTTTGTAGAATATTGAATAAGCACGGCTTTGCTTACAAGCGTGCCTTGGTCTTCCCAAATATATTTGGTTTAACAGGACTGCAAAAAAGCTGTCTTTATGAAGCATTGTTCGTTTATTAAATGTGGTGTGATGTCTGGTAGGAAGGCAGCATTTCAAAAGCAAGATAATCATGGAGATTATTCCAGGTCCACAAAGCATTATACAAGTTTAAGAGGTGCAGATTGAAGAGTATGAGATGATAAATGCCAATAATAAATCAAAAATAAAAGTGAGGAAAAAGAGTTTGAAAGTTTAAAGGGGCTAGCAACTTTGCTAAGTACCATAGTCCTGTTATAAGGAGGACATATTGTTCTTTAAACTTCTCTTCATTTTCTTTGAAAGCTATATCAATCAACAAATAGATGATGTTATATTATAGATTAAGGTACCCAGCAAAATAAGCCCCACCAGCTGCAACATTAAAATGATGAACACATTTAATTAAGTACTTTTATACTAGTAATTTAAGTATCATACACGTATAGTATACTTAAAGTACTAGTAGGAACTGTTATCTCGCTGCTAATAGTGTTGTAGGCCTTGTTATAAGATTTGAAATGTCTGACTTTTACTAATACAGAGCACTTATTCCCCCACTGTTTGTATTTACAAGATGGACCAATCCGACACTGCTTTGGTTATGACCTTTAAGAAATCTGAGAATCATAAAGTTTGCTCTTGCTCTTGCGTGCTTTATATCTGTTTCTCCTCCATCGTGCAGGGAGGCTTAACCGCTCCGGTGGCGTGCATGCGGCCCTCTGCCTGCTCACCGTTCACATCCTCAGGGCGCTGCGTGCCTGCTCTGCCGGTGCTGCTCTTGTAAAGAAAGCTCCTGATGTGTAGATATACGTGTGTGTGTGTGTGTGTGTGTGTGTGTGTGTGTGTGTGTGTGTGTGTGTGTGTGTGTGTGTGTGTGTGTGTGTGTGTGTGTGTGTGTGTGTGTGTGTGTGTGTGTGTGTGTGTGTGTGTGTGTGTGCTCTATGTGAGGGGTGTAGGCTATATGTTGAATGAATGAGGAGGGGGATGCTTGCTCACAGAGGGCACGAGGCAAGGCAGGCAGATGGTGACCTTTTGGAGTAAATTACCATGAACCCTATGACTCTCTTTCACTCAATGTTCCCCCTTCCAATACCATTTTCATGCACACACGATAAATCAAAGAACATTCAAATACATGTGTCATGCTATGTTAGTTTGTTCAGATTTAACATTGGACCCTGTCTGTCTTAACATAGGAAATAAAATGGCCCAATGTCGGCCAGTTTTCCAAAGTACAGGCTGTAAAGTAGGCCAACTCCAACCCGGAGCTATCTCTCCTTCTCTCTGTCACACATTTTACTCTGAGTGGGTGTGAGCGTGATTTTGGGCTCGGGCGTGAACAGCTGTAGTAGTCGTGACTGCGTGCACAACCAGCGGCGGCGCGCTTCGGCTTCACGTCAAGAGGCATCGCTTCAGCACCAAGGCCAGGGCTCACAGCTAGAACAATAGGCGGCTCCGCGCACGGTGTTGCATAGGAACCGTGTGGAAAAAGTCTCCCCCACACATTGTCACTCGGGAAAATACTTTTAAAACAACTATACTACTTCTAAAAATGTCCTATAAAAATAATATGTATATCGCTAAGTGTACGAGTAGAAGTATACTCATTATTGAGTAAGTATGGGTTAGTTTTATTTATTTTTCGTATGAGTGAGGCCGACATATATATTGACGGTCCCTGGCAGTTACGTCACAAGCTAACCGCTTGGCTGAGCGGAGGGGGAGGGAGAGACAGAGGAGAGACACCGGCGTATGACGTTAAAAGCCATCCAGACTCTGAACGGGTGAGACGCAACAAGAATAGAAAAACGCAAGAATAGTAGGTTGAAATCACCTCGATTTAAAGTTGGATCAATATCGGCACGACTGTTAAGTCTCCAAGGCAACTATAGTCAAGTTCAAACTGTTGGATGTTGCGCGAATTTAAGCGACCGGTTGGCCTGTTATCACTTTATAATTAATTGATTAATTGGTGAAAGTGACAAACTAACTAGCTACGTTAACTCTGGATTTTGGGAGTCGAGAGGTTGACTACATTTCAGTGGCGACAAGCTGTGTTTCGGACTCACCTGCTAGGACTTTACTCCACCACCTGCAGACTTCCAGACCGGGAACACCGGGAGTTTTGTAAAAAAAAACACAAAAAAAACACAGCCGAGCCTGTAGTATCTGAACACCGAGGATAAGGAGGAGGAGAAGGAGGAGGAGGAGGAGGAGAAGGGGGAGAGTACGGAGGCACAAAGAGTGGAGAGCATCCAGAGAGAGGGGAGGAAGGAGGACGGCACAACAACAGAGAGCATCCCTCTTTAATTTAGGATCCACACAGGCACCACTCTGCCCGTATAAGCATCCTCTGGACACGGTAAGAGCTTTGGTGTGTGTAGCCTGTTTATTACCCTGCCTTGTTTTGTTCTGGCGTGTGTGTATGTGCATGTGTACATTAGGGGGGATCGGACAAAGAGCAAGGGAGCCCCATGACATCCGTGTGTATGCTGTAACCTACAGCTGGCTAAACAAAGAAACCGCTCTATTGCCATGATTTACCCCCAATCACGCTGTTTCCTCTCTGTCTCATGTGTAGGGATCCCGAACGCTGTTTATCCACCTAAAGGTAATGAATGCTTACAGATATGTTCGATGTATTAATATATATATCTAATTGGGAGGGAAAAGTCCCATTATTGTTTTTTGATTGGCTAATTAACATTTGCATAATTGTTTTACCAGAAGCTACTGGAGCCCTTTGTCACCAGGCTGGACAATAAATACTCAAATGTTTCAAGCAAATCATTTTAACGTTTATTTGCATAATTGAGGCACACATTTTGTAGCCCAAAACCCTATTTAAATTATTTTTAAAAATTAGAATTTAAATTGATATTTTTTTATACTGATATATTTTTGGTATCCTTATTTTTTGTATTGTTACTACTTTAATTATGCTTACACTATATTCAATGTAATAAATGACATATAATGAACATAAGTTCTAAAGAAAGAATACTACAAATATAATTGTGATACCGAAGGAGTTTTAAACTCTTTAAAGTGCATACTTTTGAATGTGTAATTTGTTACCTCTGTAAGTCACACCACTTTTGTCAAATTACATTTTTTTTTAGTATAATCATTGTGACTATTACTGTCCAATGCCAACTTCTCTGGCTGTGACCCAAAGCTTATCCAGCATCGGTTCCTCCTTTCCAGGGACAACTGCTCCTGAGCTGTGTACCCCTGCAGTACCCAGTCCTCCTCTCCACTCTGTCCCGATGAAGGAGGCCGACGCCATCAAGCTGTTTGTGGGGCAGATTCCCCGTAATCTGGAAGAGAAGGACCTCAAGCCTATCTTCGAGCAGTTTGGCAAGATCTATGAGCTAACTGTGATTAAGGACAAATACACTGGCATGCACAAAGGTAGGTCTCGCTGCTACAACACAGCCTAAACAAAGAAAGACAGGTGGGGATAGACAGACAGAAAGCTAGATAGACGTGTGACAGTAAGGCAGATAGATGGGTGGATTTTCCGGCGCTGAGAGTCACATGTCACCATGGAAACTGTCACACCTCCTCTCGTCTCCATCTCCTGTTAGCACTGCAACGTGAGATCATGAAACCAGGCACACACAGCCAGTACTACACATACACTGTGAATCAAAAACCTGCTCATGCATGAATATGCTTGTGCCAAAATGTGCTAAAAAGAATACTGTATAAAGGTGTCCTTTGATATATGGCGTACAGAGTTAGAAGACTCCTTATCCTGTTAATGATTAAGAGTCTTTAAATAATGGCCCCTTCTTACAATAGATGGGTGATAAACTGCAGCAAACACACACTCTCTTTCTCTCTCTGGCATACACACACACACACACACACACACACACACACACACACACACACACACACACACACACACACACACACACACACACACACACACACACACACACACACTCACACACTCACAGGATGACCTGGGGTCTTGTGTGTTTTGAACCAGATTAGGCTGTATGCTCCAATCAGTGTAATGGGGCTGTAAGCCTGGGTGACACAGGGGAAAGAATCTGTTGTTTTGAGAATCCCCACGGCCACAGTAAGCCCCTCTTAAAAGCAATGAGATGGACCATAAGATGTGTGTGTGTGTGTGTCTGTCATTATGTTGAGTCATGCTCAATTCTTCAGATCTACAGTGTGTGAATGTTTTCATCCTAATCGTCTCTTCTTTACTCTGAATCCACGTTAGTCTGTCTGAGATGTCACCGGGATGCTAACCTGCTGCTAATCTTGTTGTCTTAGTGCTGGTGACAGGTGTAGTAAACAGCTCTGGCCAGCCAGCTCTGCTACCTACCCCTCCCTCACACACACAGACACAGGTACAGCACATAGGAGAACAGAGGGAGTGTATTTGGAGTGATCGTGAGGCATGCATAGTGGTTGGTTTAGGGCAGGAACCTGACTGTAAGGCCTTGTTAGCCCCACGCACACGTCTGTGGTACTGTCATGTGTGCTGACTCGTGCCGTGCCGTTCTGAAATGTGCCGTGCCGTGGAGTGTCCTTCTCTTGCTCTAGAGTGCATCATCATGGTGTTGTCAAGTTTAGTTACAGTGCATGAATATATATATTTTTGAATCCTTTCGCACAGTTAGCCTTATATTAAATCAGAATAGGTGACGATTAGGGATGGGACGATATAGGATTTTATTGCGGATCGCGTTGAAAACTCAATAAGTTTATCGTGGTATATTGTTGTTATTGGGTTGACTAACCTATAAAAAGTCTAGATCGCTATCATGGTAGAGAAGTGAAAATAGAAACAGGCTAAAAAAAATACAGGAATTATCAACATAAATAGCAGACTCACAAAACTATAAATTTTTATTTATGCTTATTTCCTTATTTTGGCATGTTATATGTTCACTAAAAAAAGATTTGTGTTACCTGTAAAGCAATACAAAATCAGTTAGAAAGGTGATTCTAGTATATTGTAGTGCCTCGTTAAGAGCTTCAAGCATTTAGATGCTAATTGGCATACTATTGGGAACCTCAGTTATTTTGGCCAGCATAATCGTGACATTAAACTTTCATATCGTCCCATACCTAGTAGAGCCTGCTCACGGGAGGCATCAGAAAAGGAGACGTTGAAATGATTTAAATGGTGTGGCTGTGTGTGTTTTTGTAGGGGTTGATACAGAGATAGAGGATGACAAATATTGGAGCTCCTCGCTGACCTTTTCCACCGTTCCTCCTTTCCCTTCTTCTTCCCTCTCTCCCTGCCTCTCTCTATCTGACAGGATGTGCGTTTCTGACGTACTGTGCGAGAGAGTCGGCACTGAAAGCCCAGAGCGCTCTCCACGAGCAGAAAACACTACCAGGGGTAAGTGCAAACAGACACACACACACACACACACACACACACACACACACACACACACACATCCCCAGACAAAACACACTTCACACTTATGCAACAATGCACACAAGCTTGCAAATACACTAATATCAAATCCGCCCCAATCTAAATGCACAGCCGCTCGCTACCCTGTACACTCACAAACACGGCCTCAAATCAGTGTGTGTGTGTGTGTGTGTGTCTGTGTGTGTGTGTGTGTGTGTGTGTGTGTGTGTGTGTGTGTGTGTGTGTGTGTGTGTGTGTGTGTGTGTGTGTGTGTGTGTGTGTGTGTATGTACTAGTGGACGTTCAGCTCCCATTAGTAACACTCTGACATAACTCAAGCCGCCAGCAGGCGTCTTGCTGCTAAGGACAAACACTCCCTCTCACAGGAGGCACGTAGGGTTCTCTGTGAGCATAATCATCTCCATTTCTCTCTCTCTCTCTGTCTCTCCATCTCTCTGTCGGTCTCTCCGTTAGCCTCCGGTGATAGCTCCCGCCTAGAGAGTGTGTGTAATTAATGTGGCCATTCCCCTTTGTCTCATCCCAGTCTCCCTCAGTCTCCCTTGTTGAGGGATCGTGTGCTGCAGTTGGGCAGGGGTTGGACACTCTTCATTATGGATGGGCCACTGTGCGAGATCTGTGTCTGTCTCGTAGGCTGTACCTCTCTGTCGCTCCGTCTCTCTTTTTTTCTCTCTGACCTGGTTTCCATTGCAGTTAAAAGAGGATTTGACAGTGGCTGTTTGGAGCATTTTGCATTTTTACCCTATTTTTTGCATCAAAAGTGTGCAATAATACCCGGGCGACAGAGGCATGGCTGTAGGATGTTTAGTAGAGATGAGATTTTCCGAACCATATCCAAACTCTGATTTGCAGTTTTAACATAATAGCAAATGTATCTTCACCATCTCTGAGCCGTTCTCTATCTTATTCTTCCTGTGTCGCCCCGCCACTGTTGGAGTTTCCGTTTTTTGCACCTTCTCTGCGAGCAATGGTGTTGATAAGATCTATGTGGGAAAATGGTAGCAGGAGAGCCTGAAGAAAATACTTTTGGGGGAGGGGAAATATTCTTATAAATACAAATCCCTGCATCCATACATACATGTTGCTTTTTCATGCAGCTGGGAAATGCCTCTCCATCCGTGCACACACAGAAACGCAGCATGTTAATAATGACATTAATCCAATTAGGGCCTGCTAAGGAGTCTGACCTTTCTGCGGAAATCAACTCTCCACTGTCTGCTGTGTCTGGTTCCTCCCTACCGTGTTGCCCTTTGTCCTTTGACTTACACTGCTTACTCTCTCTCTCTCCTGGGTTTGACTTTGATCCTTTCCTGTTGCTGATGACTTAAATAACCGGTTGTGGCAGAAGCAGATAGTCACAGAGAAATGGTGATGAATATTCTGGACACACGGAGGAAACATTTGCAGGGAGGATGCTCATTAGTGGGACAGACTTACTAAAGAGCCGGCATGAAACAATCAGAAGCTCCACTCCCCCGAGAAAGACGAGTGCAGAATCGAGGGTGTGGCTCTCGTGTGCTGGCTTTTCAATAAGACTGGACTTTTAATGAGCAACATGACTGTTTCTGCGTGTTGCTTTTCATCAATTTGGTGTATCCTGCTCTTCCCCTTAGTTGTTTATCTAAAAAAGATCCTATTACTTATTCTATCCAGTTTGAGGCATTCTTCAGAGTAAACAGAGTACTCTCGATGAACCTATTAAAGTGTTTTTATTTGAGATCACTGAGTTAATACAGTTTTCACTAAAACGTTACTTTATTCAAAGGACTCACAGTTGTTTCTCACTCATTCCATCCAACAACCCTCTTGTAGGTTGAACACTGCTTAAGGATCAATCTGAATCCCCTTAATAACTTCAAAGCATTATTTTGCTGGGTATATTTGAGCTCGATGGCCTCCAGCATTCTCTAAGTTTGAGCTCTGCTATCACTTTCCACTACCTGTCTATACCCTTTGCTACCCTGTGTGTCTTTCTCCCCCTTCCAGTCTATTACCTTCCTTGACAGGATTTAGAAATGACTTCAGATGACTTCTCTCTCCCTTTCACACATCCTCCCATTGTCCAATTCTTTTCATTCCCCAAGAATTGCTTTTTCATCTCTTCCTTATTCTTTCTTTTATTTTTCCCTCCATGCTTTCGCTTTTATCTCTCTTTTTTTCCCTCAAATCCCCTCTGTCCTCTGTTCAACTCCTCCCCTCACGTCCCTCAGTTTCTCTGCACCAGTAGAATATTACAGGATACTTTCGCCGCTCGTTTCTTTTCCTCTCTGAAATCTCTTCATGGTATCCCTCTTTCATCCCTGCTGTCTCTTGCTCAGTTCTTTCCCCTCACTGCACGCTCACGCTGCCTGCTCGGATTCTCATTTCACAGTCATTTATGGTAACCCTTCTTCTAAGTCCTCCTCTCAACGTCAGTCCCTCTCCCTCCACCCCCCTCGCAGTTCCTCTACCCCTCGTCTCATTTCCCCTCCTCTTGATTAGTTGACCCTTTTGACCGTTTCACACCCCCATCTCCTCATCCCCCTTCTTCCCCGGCTCTACTTGTTAAGCTGCATGATTAGTTTCTCACAAACTCATTTTCATAGTCAGATCCTGGGCTCACCATGGGGCAAGGGGGTGGAGGTGTGTGTGCATGTGTACGTGTTCATGCCACTCTTGAATCTGGGGATCGCGGCTCTTAATTGCGGATACCGGTGGCACGTCAGGCCCCTCATACAACTTTAATAGAGCCATAGCATCACACACTCATACAGATGTGTTTCCTCCTTGCACCATGGCCAAGCAATTAAAGGTTTGGAGACAAGTCCAGCGCCACAAAGGGCTCTTGCCGCTTGTGTCTGTCACTCAGTGATGGGATTTAACGCCGATTTAACGGTTCCAAGCAGCCAGTAGAGGAATGAAAGGAAGAAGACAAACACAGAGCCAGTTGCAGAGATACTATACCTCGAATGTCCCCTGCTAGCTTCAGCAGGGGCAGTGGACTGTCAGATTGGAAAATGAGAAAAAGGATAGAGGGATTGTGCGAGAAAGAGAGGGAGATGAACAGATGGCCTTATCAGAGTGTCCTGCGCCTTGTGTTTAATTTGGACACAGAGAGGGAGCACGAGATGAAGAGAGGGAGAGAGTTACATTATATTAGTCACAGTCGCTGACATTTAACAGTGGAACCACTAGCAAGTCCCACTGTAGCACACAGATGTTTTGGTGTATTAGATGTGGTACAGAGATTCCCCCTGGGATGCATCCACACGGAAGAGCTCATGTTTAGCTGTCGCATTATCAGTGCTAATTTGCACTTGAAAATTGTATTTCTCATTTGTACGCAGGGCTTGTCACCAAATGGGAATAATGAGGAAAGGATCCAGGGAGGTAAAAAAGATGCTCCTAAATGTTTGGCTTTACCTTGTTGATGCTTGATTAAAATCATGACTATAATTGCCAACTGAGGCAGGACGAATAAGCAAACAAACATTAATAGTCATTAAGCAGTCCATGTATTAAATATTTCAGGAAAAACAAAGGCTTTTGTCTTTTTAGTGCAGAGGGTTGGTAGCAACAGGACAGCGTGTGTCCAAGGTCAGAGGTCAGGGCTCAGCCTCTATACAACCAATTCAAGCTGGGTTGTCTCAGAGCTGTTAAAAAAAAAAGGATGGTGATGGGGGGGATGGTGAAGTAAATGTTTGGATTCAGGATGCTCTAAATATATATTTTTTTCATCCTGCTTTTAGTATCTACCTACCATGCCTTTGGATTACTTTTCATTCTGCAATATCATTTTGTCATGCTGGTTTTTTCAATAGATTAACAGTCAATTTTATGTTTTATTTTTACCAGGAATATTCCCATTTTCCATTCAGAACAGAATCTCTATTACAAGCAACAGACTCTTTAAAATGAAGTCTTAGTAAACTTGTCAATTGTTATGTTACATCCCCAGCATCTATATCCCTGACAGTTATATATAAGTAAAATGTAAAAGTTAGATTTGTACGTCTATAAAACAAAGTTACAGTAGTCTTTCTTACAAAATCACCCTGGCTTTATCCTATCTCCATCCTCCCTCCCTCTCTCTCCGGCCTCACTTCACTCCCGGTCCGCTTGTAAAGATTTTAACCTCACATCTCCCTCCCCCCTCTATCTTTCGCTCTATCTCTCCCAAGCCGACTGCTGCTGTTTTTCCTTCCTTATCTTTCCCCTTATCTTTTCCTTTTGTTCTCCAGCGCTGATATCTCTCTCTCCATTTAATCTGCACCCTCTTCCCTCTGCGTTTATCACTCCCCTTCATCTTTGTTCTACTTCAAACACACATGTTATTACATAGACACACACACGATCACACGCACACACACACAAACACACTCACGCACATCTGTTTTGGTCACGCTGGCGTCCGCTGATCTCAGTGTAGGTGAAATTAAAGTGTGATAAGCAGCTTACCAGGTGTGTGTTGTCATGCTTCACTGCTCTCCAGGCAGCACTCTGCTCCCTGTTCTTTGATTAGAACACACACTCACACATGCACGCACACACACACACACACACACACACACACACACACACACACACACACGCACGCACGCACCACACACATACACACACACACACACACACACACGCCTAATGTATTATTAAAAAGGCAGAAAAAGCGCCACAGGACAAGTAGTTAACAATTACTGATACAGCAGAAGATCGATACACATATAAAAAATATAATAAAAGTTTGTAGATGTGATATTGATTGAATGGATATGGAATGACAGCGTTCCTTAGCCGATAAATTGGAGTAGTTCCAGGGTTAAACATGACAGAGGCTGTTGTGTATTTTATTGAGCTTGGGCTGGAGAGAGAGTGAGAGAGAGAGTGAATTTGTTATTTATGTCTCGGGCTGAAAAGCCTATATTTATTTACATGCACAATAAGGACCTACATGGACTCAGCTGGGTACTCTCAAAGTGCAGCAGC